CTCGCTGTCTCACTACAACGCACTGGATGCGACTTCCTCAACAAAACAGACGTCTCGTAGGGCCAAATCCACTGATGTATGTCTCTGTCTCGAGGAAATGATCTCACGTATCTTGCTGTCCCCACCCCGTGTGGATGTTCGGCTGAAATATGAGTGCCCTTGCAGTTAAAGCTTTTAGCATCGTTAACCTGAGCACTTCGTTGAAAATTAGGGTAACGATGGCGTTGATCATTCATTACTAAATTTGTATAGGTTGAAGGCTCTGTTGTTTGAACTCCTTCGGGACCACTCCTTGTGTGCCCGTCGTGGCTTAATTCGACTGGCGTGTCAGTATTGGACTATTTGTTTGCTCTCTTCAGCTGAGCTTATGAGTTTCCTAGCTTACTATTGAGGTTCACATAGGAACTCGTGTAGAAGTGTCTAGAAACCAATGAGAACTTCCCAAAATTTCGTCGGAATTTCTCCTTACCAACATACGTAGCTGGCCACGTGCATATTCTCCCACACTGTGTCTGCAGCTGTTCTAGTCTCGCTGCCTCTCATGGCCTCCTTAAATAATATGAAAAAATCCGCTTCGACATCATTGACCCTCCCCGCTCGTGCTCCTAAGTCCGTGAACACCAAGGCCAACTTTGATGTCCGTCTGTTGCCCATGCATGATATCGTGGCTGCTGCCCCCACCGAGGCTCTTATCGAGTGGTATCATCTTCTGACTTCTGAACTCTATCAGCGTCAAAGCACTTCCCGACATCTCCACGACTGGTCCTATTCCCTCCAGTACGCTCTCGTTGGCCCCTCTGGTGTTGGTAAGACGAATCTCAGACTTATGTTTACTGAGAACGTCTTCCGAGTTGCCTCTACCCCTACTACTGGTGTGGAGTTCTCCAAAACTATAGCTGATGTTGACAACGATCGGATCAAGTTGCAGATGTGGGATACCGTGTGGGGCAAGTACACTGCTTCCTATTGTCACGGTGCTGCCGTTATTTTCTTCGTCTACGATATCAGCAGGCGAGAGTCATACGATGAACTGATCAAATTCATACAGGACACTCTACCGGCGCTTGACAGGACCCTAACTAAGGTTTTGATCGGCAACAAGGCTGATGTCCTGGGCCGTGAGGTGACCGCTGAGGAAGCCGCAAGATTCGCTCGTGAGAACGGATTGTTGTTCATGGAGACCTCCGCCAAGACCGGTCAACATGTCCGAGACTGCTTCTTCAACTCTGCGAGGCAGGTCCTCCTGCAGCTCCAAATGGGTATGATTGA